AATGTATTTGAATCCACATGCATTGTGTTTTACATTCTTTAATGCTTTAATACAGAATTTGCTGCCATTTATTAATTGTTGTTTTTTGAATATTGGTAGGCATCTAGAGGGAACAAGATTGGTGAAGGCAGAGAGAGGGGCATAGGAATACGGTTATACAAGCGTTAAAAAGAAAAGCATTAAAAGGTGATCCATGTTGCAGGTTGTGGAGGCTCACATGCAATACCTCCTCATCTTTTTACTAACATGTAAGAACATAAGAAGCTGGTGGATCAGGCCAACGGCCCATCTAGTCCAGCACCCTGTTCTCACAGTGGCCAACCAGGTGCCCCAATGGGAAGCCCACAAGCAGGTGCCCATTAATTTCAATGGGTTTACTCTTGAGTAGGGCTAATATGGGATCCAACCCTAAATGGTGATTTGGGTGTCTGCCTTCCACTTTTATGGATTCTGATCATGATGGTTGGCAGTACTCCATCACAGAAGTTGCATCTTGCATTAATGATTATTCATTTAGTAATCAAAACTTTAAAAACCCTGTATTTTAAAAGCTGAATTTCTGACTTCCAATTGTTCAGCTTATAGCTAGGCCTCCCCTCCCCAGACCCTCCCCCAATTAAAGTTGCTAAAGTGAATAAAGGTGTGTATGTTGGGGGATAACCAAAAATAGATTTTTGTGAGAAAGGAATTGGAAGGTATCATCATCATCTCACCCTTCAGGCTAGGGCCCCAGGGCAGGTTATATGACAATATTAGAGACAACTTTAAAACAACTTACAATCACAAAATAAGGTGGGTCCTTAAAATGTACACCTCAAGTGTCAAGGGACAGGGCGAAGAGGTGGGTCTTCAGCATTCGCCAGAAGCTGTATAAGGTGCCAGGCACAGCTCTGTGGGGAGGGAGTTCCACAACTTAGGGGCCACCACAGAGAAGGTCCTTTCCCAGGCCACCACCTTCCCCCACCGCCACTGAGCCTCTGAGGACAGAGGAACAACAAAGGAGGGCCCTCCCCTGTCGATCTCGGAGCCCAAGAGGGTCTGTAGGGAAGGAGGAGGTCTTTCAGATACTCAGGTAAATTCCTGGCCTGAGATGCACCCAGAGATAGTCCTTTTCCAAGTATGTTCACCACTGTTTCTAAGCTCTTGTTTTGCGCTCACTTCTGGCTGATAGTCATCCAGGTTCAGGGGGTGGGGATGGGAATCAAAGCAGATCCTGCACGCTTGAAGCCCACCCACCCACCCATGTTTGAGAACAAACGACAAGAACTGCCGCCCACGGCGGATCTCTCCAAGTACTTGGAACTTTTATTAAAACCCAAAATGAGAAACAAATCAATTCTGCAGAGTATATAACAATCCATGGGAATAGAAAATAGGGTCTGTCCATATCAAGACCCCCCCCTTAAGGAAACAACACAATTTGGGGGGGGGGATGCGTCAGATATCTGAATTTCAGATATACATTTTCAATATTCAGTACAAACTTCTTTTTTGTAAAAAATAATAGTATCAAGAGAGAAACACTCCCATCTGCAAAAACAAGTCAGGGCTGGGGGAAAGGTTGTTGCACCAAACTCTGGGTTGAACATCTGGGCTAGATGCATGCCTGGGATCCAGTGACAGAGGCCCCAGGGATCAAATGTGTCTGAAGGCTGGGCCCCCACACCCTAATTTAAGGGCGAAGAATGCTTGGCCCTCCAGTTGTTGTTGACCTCTAATTCCCAGAAGCCACCATGATCTAATGGCCAGGGATGATGACTTCAACAACATCTGGAAGGCTACAGGTTCCCATTACCTACCTCCAGACAGAGACCATGCTGAGGGTCAGATGCTGTTTCGTATTTCAGGCAGCAAATCTGTCTCCACCATCTCACACACCCTCCTTGCTTTTTACTCCACGGTTGCCCAATTTGCAGTACAGGAGCCAAATGCAACGAGAGAGGTTGGGCGACGCTTGGGTGAACGAGAGAACTAACCAGAGGGAGTGGCACCCACACCACCCACTCCAAAATACAAAGATACCCACATGCCTTAAAAAGAAAAAGTTGGCAAGCCCTGGATAGCCAATGCAGGAAATGCAACTTCGACTGTGGTTAAGGCCACCAAACCCAGGCCTGGTTCTAGGGCCTGACTTGCCCGCTTCCAAAAAGTGTTTACGGATATGCGATGCAGAGAAGACCCAGCTTAAAATGCTGTGCCACCGATGCAGGGTGGGCACAGGCCATATCTTTAAGTCTGGGACGCGGTCTTTTGAGCAGTGAAGTCAAGAAGAGCCCTGCTGGATCAGGCCAGTGGCCCATCTAGTCCAGCATCCTGTTCTCTCGGGGGTCAACTGGATGCCCCTGGGAAACTCAGAAAGCAGAATCTGAGTGCAGGATCAGTCTCTCCTCCTGTGGCTTTCAGCAAGTGAGATTCAGAAGCATTACTGCCCCCAGAGCAAAGCCATCGTGGCTAGAAGACAAAGGCAGCCCTCTATTGATAGTGGAGGGTGGATCAGGAGGACTCTGGCAACAGTGGGAACCAGAGAGCTCTGCAGATCTGGCCCAGTTCCTAATGGATGAACACTGCTGGAGTAACACCCAAGGCAACCGTCTAAGGCAGTCTTTCTCAACTTGTAGGTCCCCAGATGTTGTTGAACTACAACTCCCATCACCCCTAGCTAGCAAGGCCAGAGCTCAGGGATGATGGGAGTTGTAGTCCAACAACATCTGGGGACCCACAGGTTGAGAACCGCTGGTCTAAGGAAACAAAGCCCTATTTTACTGCAAGTGCCGTGGCTCTCTCAAGGATTCAGATAAATGCACAGTAAAACTATTTGGGCCTCTGCCCACGTGAAGTGAGGATGCACACCAGCATTTCAAAAAACACACGAGTTTGCTCTTTAAAAAGCTAAAAAGTGACTTTAAAATGGCTTTGACAATCTAAGCCAAAACATGGTTTGCCATTACCGGCAAAAGACAGAGAAAGCCTGGCTGCTGGATCAGGCCAATGGCCCATCTATTCCAGCATCCTGTTCTCACAGTGGCCAACCAGATGCTCCAATGGGAAGCCCACAAGCAGGATCTGAGCACAACAGCAACTGTCTGCACTTGTGATTCCCAGTTACTGGCATTCAGAAGCATACGGCCTCCGACAGTGGAGGTGGAACCCAGCCATCATAGATAGTGGCCAGTGAGAGACATATCCTCCAAGAATTTGTCTAGTCCTAAACTTTCATCAGGTGTTTTATTTCTCTTACTCGCCTGGCAAAGCAAGAGCCTCTCTTTTCAGCTGTCCAGGAACTCCAGCTGTTTACATCCGATTTTGTGTGATGCAAGGCAGAATCAGTTGGTGTTTTGCGGATCCTGAACAGGACATCACCCAATGCACGTTTAATCTGGCATCTTTCAAACAAGATGGCCAGGTTCAGACTGACTGGGCCTTTCTCACTGTGCTGCTACTAGTAACCCAGAAACAACCCTTTGCTTACAAGCTCAGCCTCCCCCTGGCCCCTCTACTCCTCCTGTTTTCGAACTTGTACGAATCCATTGCTTTGACCGATCAGAAAACAAGGAAAGGCGAGACAAGGTGAGCCTACAGGCGTGGTGGCCATGTTGGAAGTGGGAAACTAAAGCAACTGGGGTTTTATGTTTATTTTGGTAACAGCACCACTTTGAGAGTGATAGAAACTCCACCTTTAAAATGGCAGGCCCCTTGATAGCAGCACAAAAAGGAGATCAACGGGACCAGGGGGCAGCGCAAAGGCTTGGAAGCTAGAAAATTCATCTGAGGCTTTTGAGCGAGAGAGAGATAGTCTCTCACTGAGGTATTGCAGTACACAAAGAGTTGCGGGTTTCTTTTTTAAAGGACCGAAGATCAGAATGCAAGAAGCTGAGAAGGAAAAGGATTTGTGTGTGAGTGAGAGGGAGAGTAGTTTAGTGTATGCATGTTGCTCCCTGACAGTCATCCCACAGGAGTGAATGCTGGGTGTTTTTTTGCAAAGCTGCACGTATTTTCTCAGGCATGAAGCCACTGCAGTCTAGTACTCAATTTAACTTTAAAAAGCAAAAAAAGAGTCTTTACAAAGAGGCGCCTGCCCTGTCAGTTAAGAATTCGAAATCTCACAGTGGATTAGCGTGGGCTGGGGGCAAATGGCGGAGGGGCTCCGTTGTTCTGCATCTGAAGGTCCTGCATCTTCCACAGCACCTTGGGTTGGGGCTTCTGGGCCCCCAAATTCCCCATACTTCTCCCTCCCCGTTCCTGACACTATCACAGTTCTTATGAGAAGCAAATTTTTGCACAAAAAACCCCACCCCAAATCCCGTTATTAAAACGATATGCCTTGAGACAAAGTGCAAAAACAAAATACAAAAGCCTGGGTCAAGATGGCATGGGGGAAGGATTGTAGTTCAGTTTTCGGAGCACTTGCTTTTGCTGGCCCCAAATCCTGGAGAGATGCTGCCAATTGGTGTGGACACTACTGAGCTAGGTGGACCCAGTGGTCTGACTCAGCAGAAGGCAGCTTCCTTCAGAGCCCACCCACCTACTCTCTGCCAGCTTGGTTCAGAAGGAAGGAAAGAGCTTGACGTCTAAGAGAGGCTCCCTGATTATCCTTCCATTTGGTTCAGAATGTAGGGAGCGAAGTTGAAGTCACTTGTTGCGCAAGGGGAACGAATATGCAGCACCCACAATGGCCGCACAACGGATCGCGCAACAAGAACCGGCTGTTGCGCCAGGATCGGCTGTTCCCCAACAAGCTTACTCCCGTGCAACTGTTGCACCAGATCCCTTTGTCGTGCAAGCTTTAAACTCTGCCACCCACGAGCACATGGGGTCTTGCGCTAGCAGACAGAGCATTCTAGATGTTAAAGGCTCCTTGATGGGAGCTTCAGGAAAGAGCCGCCTTTCTCGTCCGCAGGAGGGAGCGGCGTCGTGTCCCTACAGAGAGGTGGGAAGCAAAAAGGGGTCTCATGCTGGTGCCGCACCCACCCCGTCTTGGGAGCACGTCAATACAAGTCACAATCAATACAAACACTTTTTTTAAAAAAGGAAGAAGAAGCTAAATGGTATATCACAGTCGTGTGTTATACAAAGATTATTAAAAACCAAAAAAACTACAAAGTACGAAGCAGGGGAGCGTCACGTCAAACTCTTCGAAAACGCGTGAAGAGGGGGTCACAGTTCAGGGGGCAGCCGGGAAGGAGGGATTCGTGGCCGGCTATGGCTGAGTCCTCAAACGGAGGGTCCGCATCAGTCGGGCGCTGGCTCAGGAGCAAAGAACCGGCTCGCTTACTAGAGCTCCTCGAAGAAGGCCACACGGGACTTTGTGCTCTGCAAGGTGAGCTGGGGGAGAGAAAAACAAAACACACAGGAATGTAATAAAAGAGGGCGCTGGCTTCCTGCTCTGCTGGGAAAACTGCCTTAAGGCATAGCTGTCAACTTACAGATTTGAATATAAGGGTCCAGCAGCCTCGAAAATAAGGGATCAGCAGCCAAAATAAGGGATTTTAGTCAACCAGCAGCTAAACAAAGCCTCAAGCGGTGGTTCCCACAGCGCAGCAACCCGGCAAAGGGGATGCAGCAAGGAAAACCACCGCCACCTCTCTGCTGGGAAGCGCTGAGCAAAGGCGAGTCCCCAGGCAACGCGGCCGATTTGATCGGCACAAAGCATGCAAGCTCCACCCCCAGTCATTCTTAGACTCCTTATTGGGTGAGCAACACAGCCAAGCAACACAGTTGGAGCCTCCCTCCTCCCTGGTCGGCAGGGAGGGAGGGAGGGAGAGGAGCTGCTTCCTTGGAAACCCAAGAAATTTAAGGGACATCATCAATAAGGGACAGCAGCGGGACAGAGCGCTGGGATAAGGGACTTTCCCGCCAAATAAGGGATGGTTGACAGCTATGCCTTAAGGAATGGTGGGAGATGGAAGGAAGCAGCGAGCTGCCTTCTGCCAGGAATGAGACGTGTCTGAGCCTGCTAGAGCACATGAAAATGCCCCTCAGCTAATCCAGTACCTTATTTTCTGCAGTCGAGACCCAAATGCCTCCAGCTACTACATGAGTAGACCCCAGAGGGGATGGCTCTTTCCCAGCTTGGCAACTGATGTTCCGATATACTGCTTCTTTTCATGGAGGTTTTGCTGAGACATCCTGGCAGATCTCAGCACCTCCTACTCCACAAATGCTGCCAATTAGCTACCAGACGGTGCTGGCTTTGGTGTATAGAGTCCTACTGAGACAAGGCTATCTAAAAAGGCATCTCACCCCTTATATACCCCATCGATCGCAGAGCTCTGCAGGAGAGGGCCTCCCACAGACGCCATCTTCTCAGGAGGTCCATTCTATATGATGTAGGAGTCAGGCCTTTTTTGTGCAGGCCCCTATACTTAACTCCTCCCCCCCCCCTTAAATCTTACATAGGCAATGTCTTTTTGGTGCCTACTGAAGACCTGGAATAAGACAACATGATTTGATGAAATTAATCACGTAGGTTACATAATTTCGCCAGAGTCGGTAGCAAGATGGATACTGTAGCTTTGGGGGAGAAGACGAACTGCGGCAGAATAGAAACAGCATTGCACGTGACAAATGCGGCGCAGAATGGAAAACAACGCACCTTCTTCCCTCCCTGCCTCCCGCAGCCATATTAAGGATCAGTGGTGCACCAGAACCTTGAAGCATTTCAGGAAAAGCAGATGCTGCACAGGAAGCCAAGATTCCCCGGAACGCTGCAGCTGTGAAGCTTAAGCAGGTGTGCATGGATGAATGGGAACAAAATCTAGCACATGCCAGGCTTTAAAAAAAGAGAGAGTATACAACTGGTCCTTACAGTGGCAAAAGAGGAGGGAGGAAAGGCATGTGGGAAATTTCTGATGGAACTGCTGAAGCTACTGGCAGCAGTCATTGCCTCTCAGCCTCTCAGGGTTGTTATGTGGATTAAATGAGGACCTGGGAGAACCATGTTCAAATCCTCTCTTGGCCATATGACGTCCACTGGGTGACCTTGGACCAGTCACTGCCTCTCTCGGCCTAACCTACCTCATAGGGTTGTTGTGGGGATTAAATGAGGAGGGGGAAGAACCATGTGTGCCTTCAGCTCTTTGGAGAAAACGGTGAAATAGAAATGCAATTATCTATCTAACAATAATTTGCATGGGTTGATAAGAATCGTTTGTGCAGGGACGTCCAACTCCCAAGAGACTGCAATCTACTCACAGTATTAAAAAACTGTGATCTACCCAATGACAATGTTGTTGAGCTTTTTTTAGGAAGCCAAAGCTGTTGAGCTTCTCCCCCTTTTTTTGGGGGGGGGTAACAATTCTCAGGCGGTCCAAAGATCGACCAGGGACACCCCGCAATTGACCACTAGATCGAGATCAACCTGTTGGTGTAAATGTACCTGTGATGAGGATGGGGGGCTTTGATACATATATTTTATTACATATAAAAATCCAACAGAAATGATCCATATACCCTCATCCGCATAGAGCCAGGTGCCGCAGGGGGAGACGGCCCTATTAGAAAAGGGTAGAGTTATTATTAAAGTTATTATTAAAGTTGAGTAAGTTTGATAAACGCCAAGCCATATGATAGTGTCAGGATGCTGTCAGTGGTTCCCGGCTGGTTGCCCAGTAAAGTATAAAGACAAGGGAAAGTTTCTTACCATCCTTTTTTATTTCAATCTTTAAAGAGAGAGGCTATAGAACGCAGCCTCTTGGATAATGGTGCTGTCCCGAGTGAATCTCCACCCTCCTTCTCTCCCACTTCCTCATTCGTCATTCTCATCATCTCCTCTACAGGTGCTGCAACATGCCCTCTGTCTTTGAGCTCTTTGCTCTCCTACTTTTAAAGCTCACCGGGTTCTGGGAGAGGAAGGGTCTGGAATGCTTTCTAATGACAATGTGTCAGCTGGGTGTTGTTGTTCTGACTCTCCCATGATTTCCCAACTTTCCCCCTCATTTGCCTCTGAGCTGCGACCTCCCTCAAACCCCTGTTCTAAATCTATACTGCCATCTTCTTCCTCCTCCTTGGAAGGGTCAAGAAGGGGAGGCGGTCTCCACCATTCCTCCTCTGCCCAGTCCCTGACAGATAGCAATCTTCAAATATCTGAAGGGCAGTCCCATTGACGATGGAGCATTCTGCAGTTCCAGCAAGCAGGGCTTGGACCAACGGATTCTAATGACAAGAAAGGAAATTCCGACTAAGCATTAGGAAGAGCTCCCTGGTTGTGAGAGCTGTTCAGCAGCATAAGAGACTTTCTTAGAAGGTGGTGGACTTCCCTTCGTTGGAGCTGCTTAAAGCAGAGGTTGGGTGGCCACCTGTCAGTGATTCTTTAGCAGCGATTCCTGCATTGCAGGGGGCTGAGCAAGATAACCCTCAGGGGGTCCCTTCCAGCTCTACAACTCTATGATTCTACAAGCAATGTTCCGCGCTCACTTCCCCACTGGGCCAGCAATCAGATGTACTCGTCTCCGCTGCGCTTTTCTGTAATCACAAGGAGCGGAGAGACAATGGCAAGTGGAGAGTGACCTCGACAGAGCATTGAGTGCTATTCAAGAGGACTCTGGTCTTTCCAAGTGTATTTTGCCCCTCTGGATTTCTCTCTCTCTCTCTCTCCCCCCCCCCCCTGCTTGGCTCATCTCACTGTCTAAAGGAAAAATGAGTCACCCGCAAATGGATCCCGGGGTTTGTGTGGGCACAGAAATATGTATGATAATGGAGAGGGGTGTGTGACAAGAGAGGCTTCCACAGAGGGTGGAGGGATTTAACAGGAATGCCAGGAGCTCCAAATGACAAATATTCTCTTAGGAAGACAGGCATCTGTCCCTTTGCAGGTCAGGCTATTTGTCCACCTGAGGCCAGAATTGTCTACTTTTGAGTGGCAATGGCTCTGAAGGGTCTAATAGAAGCGATCTTTCCCATTGCCTGGAAACCTAATCTTTTTTCTTTTCTTTTTTAAGCTGGAAATGTCTGGGCCTGAAACTGGGGCCTTACTGTCAGGGACCGTGCTGAGGAGGGCTGCACTGAGGAAGAATGGTGGGAGCCACCCCCTCCTCCTGATCCTGAATCTTCCCAAGAGCAGGAGGACAGTATTGGTTTGGAACAGTGGTTTGCAGAGGGGCATAGTTCAGAAGGCAGAAGCTGGGAAATACTGGATGGGGAACAGCTAGCAGAAGAAACATTAGAAGAGAAAGAGTTAACAGATTCACAGTCTCTGGAAAGCATTCACCCCCCCCTTCCCCAAAGACATAGAGAGCTCAGAAAGTTTCGAACATAGCAGAATAAACCTGTTACTGTTTAAAACCTCGCTTGCAAACCTGGGCTCATTCTGAGCTTTACCCCTCCCCAACCTTCTCCCTGCAACTGTTGGCTACTTGTGTATCCTCTTCCTTCACAATTTCCCCTTTCTTCCATTTCTTATACATGCCTTTATTAAATCTCAGCTCATCTGTAAGCTCCTTACGCAGCCACACTGGTTTCTTTAGAAGCCTCCCGCTTTTCTTTCTTGTTGGAATTGTCAGCATTTATGCCTTCGGTATTTCACCTTTAAGAAACTTGCATCCATCTTGGACTCCCTTCTCTTTAAGCATTTCTGACCGTGGGAACTCAGCTAGCAGTTCCTTAAGCTTTTTGAAATCAGCCTTCAAAAAGTGCAGAGTGCATGCCTGGCTACACCCAGCTTTCCCTTGCCTCTGTAGCATGAAACCCAAGAGGACATGATCACCGCCTTCCAAGATTCCCAGTACTTCTAGCTTGTCTTTCTGCCTTCTGAGAAATGAAATAGTCAGCAAGGCAATGGAGGAGCTTGTTGGACTTTGCATTCTTAGCAGAGTTTGAGTTCCAACAGATACCAGGGTGGTTGAAGTCTCCCATGACTGCTATAACTCTCCTTTTTGAATGTTTGGTAATCTGCTCCAGTAATTTGGTAATCTGCATTCAAGTATTCCATCCCGCTTGGAGGACTATAGCAGGAAGGTCACAGCTGTTTCCCTCTCCTACAGTTTTTACTCATATACTCTCAATCTGCCTTCCATACTCCCAAGTTATGAATCTCTTCCCAAGTTTACACATCCTTTACATATAATGCTACTCCTCCCCCCTTCTTGTTTGGGTTATTCCCTTTGAATAAGTTATCCCTCCAATTTCTACATTCCAGTCATGAATCTCATTCCACCAGGTTTCAGAAATGTCTATTAGATCGTATTTGTCAACCTGTATTAAGAGCTCAACTTTATCTTGCTCGTTTTCCATACTCTGTGCATTAGTATAGAGACAACTAAGTCATTCCCAGCTACCTACTTCTAGTTTCCTGCCCTTTAGCAGGTTTCTGTAGCACTGCCTCAGTT